GAGGCACTGACCCAGGACTAATGCTCTCCAGCTGCTTGCCAAGGTTTCTTCTTTCTTTATCGAGTCTGGAACCTCATCCTTGGGTTTGAGATCAGGCGCTGTGGGTACAGAGGAGACGGGGCTGCATTTAGTGCATGCTGGAGGGGCAGCCTGTGATGGGGGGGTTGTGCTAATGGCTCTTCTTCCTGTCACAGCTCTGGGACATTGGTGGCCAGCCGCGCTTTCGCAGCATGTGGGAGCGGTACTGCCGTGGAGTGAGTGCCATCGTGTGAGTATCCATCAGTGGCAGTGACAAGATGCAGCTTGGCCAGCCATGGGGACCTTCATCCTTTGTACCCTACCTGAGGGTGCTGAGCAAGGCTGAGCAGCTCCGCCACTGGGACTGGCACAGTGCAGGGCATTGCAGTCTCAGTGCCTCCGTGGGCTTTGAGTACAGGGCAGCAAATGGACCTCGAGTGTCTCCAGAATAACAGCCCTGTAGAGCCTTCCCTTCCATGCAGCATTCCTCAGCCTAGCTGTACGCCTTGGATCTTGCCTTTCCCTGCTCCCTTGGTTTCTTTGTGCTGCTCAGTCATCAAAGGGACTGAGCAAAGGTCAGTGGGGTCTTGGCCCTTTTCGAGAGGACAGTGTGAGGGGTAATGGCCAGCAGTGTATTCCCAGGTCCATGTTTATGCTGCAGAGTGAACCTTGTGCTTAGAGAAGTCTGTGCAACACTTGCTGCTGACTGTCAGCAGTCTGTGAGTGTCCTTGCATGTCCCCTACTTGCAAATATTGCAGGAAGCTCACTCCCAGAGAGTCCAAGATGGAGACAAGTCTGGCAAAGACATTCAGGGGAAGCAGACTGCATACTCCTAAGAACAAATATTTACCTGAGAGCTGAGGTTGGAGTTGTTCAAACCCAGTTAGAAAATCAGATTTTTGTGGTCTCCAGCAGCTGACCAGTTCTCTCACAGGCCACGTGCCTGTGCTCAGGGTGTCCTTCCTTTTCAGGTACATGGTGGATGCTGCTGACCAGGAGAAGATCGAGGCCTCAAAGAATGAACTTCATAACCTGCTGGACAAGCCGCAGCTCCAGGGCATCCCGGTGAGCTGCTGCCTGGGTAGGATACCCTCATCCACTGCCACACACACCATCCCCACTGCACTCCTGCTGAAACTGGGAAAGTGACATTTTCTATCTCAGGGCTGAACAGCACTTCCAGCACTAGGAGGGAGGCTTAGAAGAGACCAAGAGAAACCCTTATGTGTGAGACTGACCACCTGCATGAATGTGCACCTTTTTTATGAGGGAAGACCTTAAGGTTTCATCACCCCGTAGCACAGCTGCTCGACTGTGACATTTGCAGGAGATGAGCTGTCAGCAGTGGGACTCACAGTTGGCACACTGCATGTGCCAGGGTGGGATGCTGACGGAGCCTCCAGAATTGGCATCCTTGGAAAGGAGCTAATCTAGGACCTTGCACCACATCCCAAGCATTCGTGGCCAACTAATTTAAGCTTCTGACATAACACACTGCATTTGCAGCACTTCAGAGTGCTCTTTTTTAAGAACAAGGCTACTCCAAATGTAAATTGGGGGACGCTGTATTGCTGTGCTGCTGCAGAGGCCCTGATTTACAGCAGCCTCAGTGCTGTCCTTGTCAGATGACAGTCGTGTGGTTCTCTCAGGAGCGATGAGGAAGTCCAGCCTGGGGCTTATTTTCTTTGTGTAGTCCTAGGATTTCTTTGTGGATGTCAAAAGCCTTGAAGTAAGAGATCAGTGGGTACTGCAAACAGCCAGTGCTTTTTTTGGGCTGGCTGCCTGCAGGGAGCAAGGCTCTGCAGGGTGTTTGTATCCTGATAATGTCAATTTTAGCCCATCCAGCCTCACTTGAATTTTTTGCTCAAAGGTAAGTGGCTCCTGGAGGAGTGTCCTACATGCCTCAAGGGAAACTGGTGCCCTTCAGAGAGGTTAGAGTGTGGGCCAGCTTCTCAGTGGGACAAGAAAGTATTCAGGAGATGCTGGGTACAAGCCAATTAACACCGTTAATGGAGGTGCTCTGCCTTCTCATTGCCTGCTGAAGGGATTTTCTCTGTCCAGGTACTCTGGTGAAGTAGCCTGGATTTCCTACATCCCAAACAGGTCTTGGTTCAGGGTGCCAGGCTCAGTTCCCTGCCCACTCTGGTGCTCAGGAGCTTCACATGTCCCCTCTCCCCTTCTACAGGTCCTAGTCCTGGGGAACAAGCGAGATCTCCCTGGTGCCTTGGATGAGAAGGAGCTCATTGAGAAGATGTAAGTGTGGGTGGCCCCGGGCTGGGACAGGAGCTGCCTGCAGCAGCTCAACCAGCGGGCGGGCTGCAGAAGCTGGGACAGCAGCTGGGCTCTGTGTGCCACTGGGGGGCGTGGGGGCCCGGCACGCCGTGCTCAGTGCTCTGCAGTGGCACAGGGTGTCACCATCCCAGGGAGCTCAGCTCCGGGCATCTCCACACGACTGCTCAGAGATTTCCCTTATCCTGTGTGCACCCCGTGCCGTTCCCAAGTCCTTTGTGCCCCATCTCCCAGCTGTGCTGTGTAACTGAATTTTAGGATGCTCTGAACAAAGCTGTGAGATTTCTTGGCCAGGATCTTCTTGAGGCCAGGTTCCTCCTGCCTGTCATGCAGCCCCTGTGCTAGCCTGGCTGTCAGACAGCAGGAGCAATGCAACGGTGTCTTCACTCAACCTTCCTTGGAGTCCCCAAGATCCTGGGGACTTTGCCCTTACAGGGGTACCCCCCTTCTCAGAGCCTGAGTCCAAAGGGACTTGAGGCATCACCCATTGCTGCAGAGAGTGCAGTCTGTGGAGTCTGCAGCACTCAGACTCAGTTCCTCTCCTGCAGGAACCTGTCTGCCATCCAGGACCGAGAGATTTGTTGCTACTCCATCTCTTGCAAAGAAAAGGACAACATTGGTGAGTGCCAGTGGCTCAGGGTGCTGGTGGGTGGGGACCAGGGCTTATTGCAGTGCACCTAGGTTGCTCCCCCAGTACAGGAGGGGAGGATAGCTGAAGGGAGAGGCTGTAAACACCCCTTGCCTTTGCAGACATCACCCTACAGTGGCTTATTCAGCACTCGAAGTCCAGGAGAAGCTGAGATCCCTTGGACTGCAGCTCAGATCGGGAAGATGCCATTGTACAAGCCCATACCCCCTTCCTTCTCCTGCTCTGTCCCTCCAGCTCTCTCTCTCTAGATGGGTATTTTTAGGGGACCCCAGACTCCACTCGCATTGAGGTGGAGCCCTTGTTTTTATTGTAAAGAAAATGTCTGACTCTGCCCTCCTTTCCTCTCTCTGTCTCTTCTTCCCATTTTGGCACTGTTCTGTTGTTGTCTGTGTATACAGTATATATATATGTATATATATTTTAATTTTTTAATTTAAGCACTAGCGCTGTTACTAAACTGGGCCCTGTGAGCTGTAGGAAGGCTGTGGGCTGCCCGAGTTCAGCACTGGGAGGAGGATGAGGTGCATGGCAGACAGCAGCCCCCAGGACGGGGCTGGGTAGGGCTGCAGGCAAGTCCCCCAGGAGTCCTCACTCCTTCCTGGGGTGAGGAGGAGGTGTAGCACCCTGGGGCTGCGGGGAGCACTCCTGTGCTGTCCTTCCCCAGGCTTCAGTCCCCACAGGCAGGGTTTGTGGGGGCAATGCCATCTCCCCCCACCCCAAAGCTCTTCACCCCAGCATGGGGATGGGGGTTGGTCACAGCCCACTTCCATCAGCCTGCCCACATTGCCCTCAGCTGCCCCCACCTCTCCTCGCTGCCCTGGGCACCTCACCCCCGTACCCCTGGGTGCCCCAGCCTGCCCAGTTGTGCACACTGGTCCTGGCTTTGCTGCCCCACCTCGGAGTGCTGGGTGGCACAGCTGGCTCCTTTACTGCACGTGGGGGGGGAGAAGAGAGGAGACCTCGAAGAGCCGGAGTGTCTTTGTCCCTTTGTGCTGAGTTATTGGGTCTGTGCTGGTGCAGCCTTGGGGTTGCTTGGGGCTGGTGGGGGGTGGGATATTTCTGGGTAAGGGGGGAATGCTGGCAGCAGCAGGGAGGGTGGGCCAAGTCTGCCATAGTGGGAAGGCACTGGCCCTGTCCCCAGCCCCAGTGGGGTTGTGGGGATGGCCAGCAATGGGGTTTTTCAGCTCCTGCATGGCTCCTGGGGGTGGTGAGGCCTGGGGGGTTCTCTTCTGTTCTCATTTTTGCAGAATTGCACAAAGAGAGGTTTCCTTTTTTTTTTTTTAATTTAATGGATTGTAAAGTGTCGTCATCCCTCTCCGCCCCATTTTTTTTTAAGCGATATTTTGGCGCAGATTTGACCTCTGTTGGGAAATGATTCTTGTAACTGTACAATTTTTTTGCCTCCTAATAATAATAAATTAACAATTTTGCGTTGGTGGGTGTGGTTGCAGTTATTGCTTCCTCTCTGCCACTGTCTTCCTCCCCTCCCCCCCAACTTAGGGCTATGCCTGTGCCTTGGGGTACCCTGCAGTACCTGGTGCCTCTATCCGGATTGCAGTCCCCATGATGCCACTCAGGACCTGCTGGAACCAATCTGAGGGCTCCCAGTGCATTGTTTACACATGGAGATGGGCTCCAAGCCCTCCAGCTGTGGCCATCGCTGCTTCTGGATTCTCCTCTCACCCACACTGTGTTCTGGGCCTATCATGGGATAGCAGTGCTGGATTTGGAGCAGCTATGCTGGAGGGCTCCTGCCCCATCTCTGCCCTCCTGCCTCTACCCGTTCTTCCCTGTGGGCTGTGACTGGTGGTGGCAGGGTGCCCCATACCGTGCGCCTGTCCCATTGCACCTGGAATTGTGCTTTGTGCCTACAGCACCTACAGCACCCTGCCTGCCTACCTGAGCATGGGGTGTGAGTGAGACTGGGGTGCAACATGCACCATGCATCGCCTGCATGGGCTGTATAGCCCCCCCCCCCCCCCCCCCCCCCCCCCCCCCCCCCCCCCCCCCCCGCCCCCAGCCTGGCTCCCTCCTCCCCACACACCCGCGGCAACAAGCCGGCCTTTGTTCGCCCCTGGCCGGGGCTCAGGACGGAGCGGCACTGAGCGCATGAGAGCGGCCACCTCGCCCTTCCTCCCACCACGCTGCTGCCTGTGCAGGGGGCCCAGCCCTGGGGAACCGTGCCCTAACCAGGACCCAGCCAGGCGTCTGTGCCCCAGTACACACCCTGTGCTGTGAGGTGCTCCCAAACCCCCACAGCCCCAGCATCGTCAGCACAACACGGGGAGGGCTGGCAGAGGGAAAGGAAAAACTCGGTTTTGTGCTACTGGAAAGAAAACTGGGGCTTTTGTTTCCCTGGCAACAGGGCTGAGAAAGCAAAGCTCGGTGGGTGCTGCTGCACAAAGCCCACAGTGAGCCCCTCGCATTCACCCGCCCGTAGCAACCGTCTCCCTCTCCCCGGCATCCCGCGGGCTGGGGCGGCTGCCAGCCACACACACAAGGAGCTTTCACAGCTCGGCTCTGGGGGCAGCACGGGGGGGCCCGGCACGGCCAGCCTGCCCTCGCTGCTCCCAGCAGCCTGCCTTGGTAAGAGCCCTGGTGAGACGTGGATGCTGGGTTTGGAACGTGTGCTGGTTTGAGGTCGGCACCTCGGGTGGGTTTTGTGCCCCTGATGGGCAGAGTGGACAAGGAGCCGGGAGTGTTATGTGGGGCTCTTTGGATGAGATGTGGGATCTTGGTTCTGCACGGTGCTTTGCAGGCTGTAGGGCACCGCTGCCCAGTGCTGAGCTTTGCTGGGACCAACTCAAGCCCCACAAAGCACTGAGAGCTTGGAGGAGCTCGGCAGAGGCTGCCCTGGCACTCAGCAGCACTGCTTTCCTGACCCCCCTGTGTCCTCACCCCGCTGAGCTGCCCGTGCCCACCCAGAGCCCCCAAGTCTAAGGGAAGAGCGTGGGGTCACACAACCCACCGTGCTCTGACCCCCCATTGCTCTGCATGTCTACGTGCACGACGTGCTCTAGTTTACTGGTTTATTGAGCTCTTACAGGGCACTGCTGGGATCTGGTCGCTGGGACCTTCTCCTACTGTGGAGGGGGCTGGCAGGAGGGGATGGGACAGGACGAGGGCAGTTTGTGTTTGCTAAGTCCTCTGCAAACCCTCCTTAATAGCAGATGGGACCTTTCCTGCGCAACTCCATCAGCAGAGCAGCAACCCCCCAGCCCGGCCAGGCACAGAGGGAGCTGATGTCCTTTGGGCAGAGGCAAGAAGGCCACTGATGTAGCCATGGGGACAGGACACCCCTTGCCCAACACGGGGTTTGAAGCCCACGGTGCAGCCCCTGAGCTGACTCTCCTGCTTGCTCCACGTCCGGGCACGGGGCACTAACGGCAAAAACAACGTTTGGTCTTGGGAGGAGGTGGTGAAATGCTCTCTACGGCTCCTGGTTGGCACTTAACACGGCGTGCCGAGAGCCAGGAGGGGCGGAGGGGACTCCCGGGGCTTGTCGAAGAAGATGGAGGAGGACATCTCTGTCTTGAGCTTGCTGTCGGCGCTGCCCTCGCTGGAGGCGGCGTCGGGACCGCAGCCCTCGCAGCAGCAGCAGCAGCAGTCCATGAAGGCCTGGCCCAGGGGTCTGCAGAGGCACAGGAGCAGGACGGGCGTCACCGAGCACTTGAAGAACAGAAAGAACTGGTTGATGAGGTTGAGCAGGTCCAAGGTCTGCTTGGACATGTCGGGGGACATGTAGGCCACCACGATGTTGCAGACGTTCTCGGGGGTGGTGCAGAGCCCGTAGATGATGGTCAGCCCGATGATGGTGCAGTTCAAGTGGCTCTCACACTGGCTGTGTTTGGTCCCACGGCACTCGGCCTTCTTCTCGGTGCCGCGGATCCTGCGGGTCACCAGCTGGCAGCTCACAGTGAAGAGGATGGGCAGGCAGAAGTAGCAGCCGAAGTACCACCACATGCGGGCGTTCTGGTAGGTGAGCACCAGCGAGTAGACGGACTCGGGCAGGTTGGACGAAGGCTTCATGGTGCAAAACTCGGTCACCACGCCGGACACGGGCGACGTGTCCTGAGCCAGCTGCCAGAGCAGGACCTCTGGCACCGACAGCGTCATGGAGCCCACCCAGATGACGGCCAGCTTGGCAATGATGGACTGGCACTGCTCGATGGGCCGGGCGCTGGCCTGCGGGCTGGTGGCCGCGTGGAACCTGTCGATGCCCAGGGCGCAGAGGCTGAAGGTGGTGACTCCCAGGGATGATACCTGGTGAAGGGGAAGCAGAACAGGTGGGACTTCCAGTGGGGGCCTCAGAGAGGTTGGCTTGATGATGGCACTGTAAGCTCCCACCTACCCGACAGCCCCAGACCCTTCCTCCAAGGTTTGACAGAGGTCACATCCCAGGTTTGGAGCCACCTTCCTGTGACTCCTGGAGGGGCACTGGATAAGCGTCCCTTGACCCACGTGTCCCTGCACTGCTCCCTGTTCTGCACAAAGCTTTGATGGATGCCAGTCTGTCCATCCAGCCAGGGTGGGAATAGCAGGATTGTCCCCAGGCTCTTCTTCTATTCTGGATGTTTTTGGAGAGGAAAAGCAGGGACCACTGCTCCCATCAGAGTCTTCCCATGGCCCCGGCTGCCCAGGCTGGCTCGTCCCTGCCCTGTTCTGCAGATCTGCTGCCTGCTTCCCAGGCAGCCCAATAGAGCTGAGGACACCGTTGTCACAGACCAGCTCGGGGCAATTTCCGCTGCTTTGAGGAGAAACATCCTTGTTTGCCAAAGGGAAGAGGCCAAAGGAGGCAAAGGGAGGGCTGCCCAGGCGCTGAGGGTCACAATCAGCATTCAACCCCGCAGCCCCTGGCCAGGAGCACGGCAGTCACATGCTGCTGCCCCAAAGCCCAGCGGCCGTTCCTGGCCTCACGAAGCCACCAAACATCCCCCTGTGCCGAAGGACATTCCCAGCACTTGGGAAACCTCCTGATGTGTGTGCAGCATGCAGCAACCTGCCAGTGGGTTTTGCAAGAAACAGACCTGGCACCTCCAACCCAGAACAGCTCTGGCATCCCCGCTGAGCCCTTTGCAGTGGCTCTGAGTTGGCCTCGTTAGTGCTGCAGGGCACAGCAGCTCATGCCAAACACCCAGCATCACCACTCAGTTTCTGTGCAGCATCTCCCCTGACAGCACCATGGCCCTCAGCACAGCATTGCCATCGCCATTCCATGCCCAGCCCCCCACCACCCAGCAGTGCTGCTCGTGTCCCAGCACTTCTGCTCAGCACCAGCTGTACCACCGCCTCTCCTCTACGCTGAGGCTGCCCCCAGGCTCTCCTCTCCTGGTCTTTGGGGACTGTGATGGGACCACACATCCCCGGAGCTATGCCATGCCCATCCTTCAGCAGCCCCAAGATCTCAGCATCCCTCTTTGGCGGGTTCTGAGGCACTCCAGTGCTGCTGGCTCACTGATCCTGGAGGTGCCACCCCCACAGGTGCAGCAACCTGGACTGCCCAGATTCAGGTCACAGCAGCACCTCCCCATGAAGGGGTCTGCTTTGGGGGCATCCCTCCTCCCTCTCTATTATCACCCAGCACTGAACTTGCCTCGGCAAATGCCCATCCATATTCCTGCCCCTATTTGAGTACTCCTGCTGCCTGGTTGTGCCATGGGTTGCTTGAGGTGGAGGACAGGAATGGGACAAAGCCTTCACTTAATAGTCTGGGATGGGAGACCTCCAGGAATGAGCAACTCCTGCTTTGCTGAGCAACAGAGGCATTGCTGGGATGGTGGCAGCCCATCATCTCGTTGTGCTGGGCTGCAACCTGCAGGTGCTGGCTGCAGTCAGGGTACACGTAGGGCTGTGCCTGGAATCACCCAGACCTGTACCCAAAGTAGCATCATGGGGTGCCCTGTGCAGGTGTGTGCATCCAGCCATGAGCAATTGCTCCTGGGGTCTCCTGCACTAATACCCAGCCTGGCTGCCCCCAGGAGTGTGCAGATCCCACCTCCAGATTTGGGGTGATTTGGGGACTTAGCATGGACTTGGTAGCGTTGGGTTCTCGATCTTGATCTTAAAGGTTTGGGTCGGACTTGATCTTAAAGGTTTTTTCCAACCGGAATGACTCTATGACTCTATCCCATGATTCTACATCTTGGGGTCATTTTTTTCACCCATAAGGAATGAGCAGAGATCTCAGGTTCCCAGCTCCAGCCCTGCCCCAGCCCTGCTCAGCAGTCAACATGGGAAATGTCCCCCCATGGTGAGGTCTCTGGGCACACGGTGCCAGGCCCTGGGCAGCGATGGTGCCCCCAAAAGAAGGGGGCAGAGCAGCCCCTTACCTCCATGAAGGGCACGATGCGGCACGAGATGTCCCCCAGCAGCCTCTTCTTGGTGATCTCGTTGAAGATGACCACAGGCAGGCAGAAGAAGAGGATGAGGAAGTCCCAGAAAGCCAGGCTGGCCAGGATGGAGTTCCAGGCGCTCTTCATGTAGTAGTTGTGCCACACGATGCACATCACCGAGAGGTTCCCAATGATGCCCACCGCGAAGACGATGAGGGACAGGAACATGACGGCGTAGGCGCTGTAGGAGTTCTCCGTCACCGGGTACAGCGGGTTCTGGATTTGCAGCCTCTTGTCGGACACCGTGGTCAGGTTGGCGGCGGGCTCAGCCCCCCCATCCGTGGGGACCCCCCGCTGCTGCTCAGAGGGGTCGGTGCTGGATGGCACCATGGCCCTGGTGGGGTGCAGGCTGGCGGCGTTGATGGGCCGCGGGAATTCCACCCGCACCCCCGGCACGTACTGCTGCACCGACTTGGAGTCCTCCACCGTGCCCCGACGCGGCCGCGCCTTCAGCTCCGCGCTATCCCGCGCAGCCACGGGCAGCATCCCACCTCCACCTGCGCCCTGGTTTGGGCGCACGCCGCCTTCTGCGTACCGCCCGGCTGCGCCCGGCATCGCCGCGGCCCCCGGCAGTGCCAGCAGCAGGAGGACGAGCGATGGGGGCGAAGGCATGATGTCCTCCGCACCCTCTGCGGAAGCGTCTGACGGAGCAGCCCCGGGGCTGCGGGGAACGAGGAGGGGCCGGAGGAGCTCCGCTCGGTCCGGCTGCGGCCGCTGCTGTGGGCGCTGCGGTGCGCTCCGGGCAGGATAAAGGAGCGGCAGAGCCGGGCCCTCTGCTGGTCACCCACCGCTGCCGGGACGCTGCCAAAAGCTGAGAGTCACAGCCCGGGCTGCGCATCCCCCACCGCACTCCAGCGACCCCCAGCATCTCCCCATGGGGCCCTGGGCAGCCTGAGCTGGTGGGGGGCAACCAGACCAAGGCAAGGGTTGGGATCTTCCAGGGCCCTTCCAACCCAAGCATTCCATGGTTCTGTAATCTTTAAGGGACCTTCCAGCCCAACCGTTCTATGAGTCTATGATTCTGGTTTTACAGCTCCACGATTCCATGACTCTGTGGCTCTATGATGGTATTATACGATTCTATGAACCCAGCCCGAGATGCCCATGGCTTGGCACGTGGGACAGGCTGCACTGCTACCCCCCAGCAGGGGTCTGAGGAGGACTGAGGGTTCCTGACCTCCTGCCTTCATCTCTCCCCATTCTCTTCACCTCTGCTGTCAAAGAACAATGTGTTATGTAAACTAAACTTTATCCTACGCACTCCTTAGAAAACAAAAAAGGCCAACAAACAAGAGCTCAATCCCTTTGGTCCTGCTAACCTAACATGTGAATCCATTCACTCATCACTTCACGAGGTTTCTAACCCACAGGTTCTCCCCCGCAGTTTGTAACCTGTAACTCACATCCATCCCAACTCCTGCCCTGTGCCAGCAGTGGAGCACTGCTCCTTCCTCCTTCCTCCTCCCTCGTGCAGGTGTCCCTGCTGTCACAAGGGGAAGCAGCTGTCGGATCCGCTCCAAAAGCTTCTGGGCAGAGCTGACCTATTTCTGCCTTGCAGCTTGGAGGTTCGGTCTGTGCCACCTCCGTGAGTCAACAGGCTCTGAACGGGCAATGAATGGGCTGCGGGAGGCAGAGAGATGTGGAGGATTCTCATCCCTGGATACTTCTGAAGGGTGGAGCAGCATTCCAGCTCCTGCTGGGGTCTGCAGGAGCACAGTAGGAGTGCGTGAGGGCTGTCCTGGGAGCAATGGCTGCACAGATTTCTGGCCAACCTATAAAAAGAGGAATGGCTCAGCAGTGACTGAGCACGAGATGACGCTGCTGAGTGCTCCAGATGCTCTGCTCCAAGGACACCTGCAGCCAGGGGGAACATCGGGGGGAACAGCCAAGCAGATCTAAAATGAGTCACACGTTCTCGTTAGTGGAGAGCAAACCCCAAAAAGGTGAGCTCTAAGAGAGGAAAACCAGAGCTGCTTTGCAGTGATGCAGAGCCGGAGCACGGCCCCGTGGGCAGCCGAGCACTGCCGGCATTCGGGTTACGTTGGACAACCGAAGGATGGGTGACGACTCCTCCTCCCCAGCGGCCCGCAGCGCTGAGCCCAGCCCTGTGCAGGCTATGGGAGAGATGGGGCAGCGCTCCCTGCAGGAGGAGGAGGAGGACGGAGCGTTCGCAGTGCCCACAGCCGCTCTCTGGATGGAGCCCTCGGCCGCTGCCGCCTCAGCCCGGTGCTGTTCTGCAGGGAGCGGGGCTATTTTTAGTTTCATTTCATTGCACAACAGCGGGTGCGGCGTGGAACCGCCTGCAGACAGCAGCGGAGTTCACTGGGGCAAGGTGACACCGCGGCACGGCAGTGACCTCCGGCTCCGCTGCCCGGGGAACCGCAGCCCTCCCTGGGCTCAGCAGCTCCCGGCCAGCGGCGGCCCCGAACCGCGGGGCCCAGGGGCTCTTTGGGAACCGCACATTTTTCCTCTCGGCCCACATTCGCAGACGGGCTGAGGCTGTTTCTCGGGAGATGAGTGTGCCGGGCTCTGTGAGCATCTCCTGGGAGCGCTGCATCAGTCGGAGCTCCCAAATGTCACCCAGGAGAGGTTTCTGCCCAAATCCCCTTTTCCTGATATCTCATCCAACCCTCAGCGCCTCTGCACACAGATCACATCCCATCCGACACGGCTCCCCTGGGGCCCATGGGCACAATATCACAATGAGCCTGGAGCTCTCAGAAACGGAGCAAAAGAGAGAAGAGTTTCTGAGCACCACAGCAAAGGTCCTCCCCATCTTCTGGGGCTTCTGAAAGCTGCTGCTTTGTTTTGTTTTGTCTTTGTTGCAGCCACAGGGAGAGATGAAGCTGCTCAGCACCGCTTCACCTCCTACCTGCTACATCCCTATTGCCACAATAGGGGCTGCCTGGATAGGTCCCAGTGGTGTTGCAGTTTGTATGGCATCATTATGGCCTGATTTTTTTGCCGATGAGCCTTTTGGGTCCCTGCTCGATGCCAGGAGAGCAGCCCGTTGTTTGCAGCACACAGCCCTGCCTGCAGCTCCCTGGAAGCAGAGCAGGGGCTCGGCCACACCTGTTTGCCCAGCGCCCTGCCGGCGATCCGCCCACTTCTTTGGAAAGTGGGGAGCGGGCAGGGAAAGGACGCAGCAAACAGGCAGAGCTGTGGCACCAATCCCGGCGGCCTTAAAGCACGGCCCGCAGGCTCAGCTCCGTTCGGCACAGGGGTGGGGGACGTCCCTGAGCGGCTGCAGGGCGTCGGGTGCGGGGCCTCCCCGAGCTTTGCAGCCATTTCCATCAGCCCTTCTGTTTGCAGCTGGGCGTGCAGGCAAGGATCTGAAAGCCCGAGGCGAGTTCAGCTTAGGGCAAAGGCAATATTTGCCAGCACAATAAAACGAGTGATGTCCTGGAGGCGGCGCGGGCTGTTTGGAGAGGCGCCGAGCGCAGCCCCTTTGTCTGAACCTGTTTGGCACTTGGCTCACAAATTCCCTTTGAACACTCGAGGACTGGTGAATGCAATTGGGAGCAAAACCACTGAGTTCCTCACAGGAAACAGGCCGCCTTCAAATCCTCTACTTTCTTTTTTTTTTGGCAAATATGGTACCTGGTGTGACGCTGTGATGGGGGTTTGGAGCAGCTGTGATGTGAGAGATGACTGCAGCATCCCCTTGGGGACATCCCTGGTAGGGCACTGTGCTGCAGGGGTTTTGTCACCCTGGTTTCCTAATCTAATGGTGCTTCAGTGCCTGAGCTGTTCTCAGCCACTCCTGCAGCCCAAACCCAGTGGGGCTGCAAAGGGACTTTGGTGATGGGACACAGTAGATCACAGTGATGGTCAGAATTGGTGATCCTAAATAACATCTCCAACCTACATGATTCTGTGAAATTATTTTACGGTTCAGTGATTCTTTGATCTCTACTTATTGGGAACACCACAGCTTGCTGTCTGAGTGCTGTGGACATGGCAAGGGTCTGGCAGCACACACCCTATGGGGCACAGAGGGATGGGGGGCTGCACCCGGAGCTCTGGTGCACCCAGAGGACGTGGCTTAATGGGTGATGTGACCATGCAGCAGCTGCCACAGGTTCCCATGCTGCAAATGTGCCACCCAGAGACCCCCATCCCAAACCCAGCCTTGATCTCCCCCCACTTCCCTTCAAACCTTCAGTGGCTGCTGACAGCATGACCCAGTGCTGCCCCTTTTGCACACACATCAGCCATCCTCGCTGAAAGCATCTGCCACGCACTGCAGAGATGGTGCCACCAATGCCACCACTATGCGTCCCTCCCTGCCCTGGGGTCAATTCCCTTGGGGCCCCTGCCTGGGGTCCCTGTCCTTCCTGGTGCACGCTATGCAGTGCAGGGTGGGTGCAGATCCCCCACCACTCCAGCTGAGCCCCCTGCAGCAGGGTTTGTCCTTAACCTGCCGGTGGGGAGCAGAACCCTGCGGTGACACTTTGCAGCTGCTGTCGCCCCACCCTGGGTGGGGACGAAGGTCACCCTGCAGAAAGTTCGGCTGCTTGCTGATGGAAAAATGGGGGAAATTCCCTGCTTGGCACGCATGCAAATGAGGGCTGCGGCCGGAGACCCTGTGCCCAAGAAGCCCTCCGTCCTCCCAGGGTCACATCAAGACCCCAAGTGCTGCACGTGTCCCTTGGAGCTGCTCACATTCTCATCACTGTTGGCAAAACTGGGGGAGATCTCACCCAGGAGACCCAGGAGAAAAGCCACCATCTGTGCTGTGCCACGCAGGATCGGCAGCTGTGCCCAACATGGGAGCTGAGCACTGTGCCAGCGGGGTGGGCATCATCCTGCTGCACTCCCAGAGTGACACGGGACGGGCACAGAGGAGCTGCTCAGCACTGACCCACATGGCCGCCATCCAGCAGCCCACACAGAATGGGGTTTCTCCATGCTGCAGTAAAGCAGCACCACGCAAGGTGCTCTCCCTGAGATCCAGGTCAGTGCCTCCAGCCCCACACTGAAGCTGGCGGCTCTGAGTCACCGTGTGCCACAGCCCCATCCCGGTATCTGCCAGGCGTGGCGGCTCAGCAGCTGACGTGAGCCCACGGGCAGCGATGCGGCTGTAATTGCGGCGTGGAGCTGATAGCGTGGCCGTGTTCCCTCCCTGCACTCGTGACTCGAGGTGGGGGATAACTCTGTGACACCTCCTGCTGCTCACACCTCGCTCAGGGTCTAACAGCCTGGCTGAGAGCCGTCCCACGCCTGCCAGGACTCGGGGTCATCGCCTCCTGGAGAAGCCAGGCTCTGTCTCTCCCTGACGGGTCTTATAGAAATGAAAGCACCTCGGTGGGAGCAAACCTGGGGCTGCCAGCAGACAACAAAGGCAGGGAGCAAAGAGAGAAAGTGGGGGCTGAATAGCAGATCCCCATACACATCACCTGTGGCAAAGCACCTCTTGAGCTACAGGATGCTGAGTGAAGGGATGGGGAAGCACAGGGCAGAACCCGTCCTGTCAACACACCTGGGCTCCTGCAGGCTCCTAGCTGTGGGCACAGAGGTCCCACAAAACGTGTGAACACTTGGGGCTGCCTGTGTGATCCCAGCACTCACTGCTGGATGGCAGACAAACAGCCATGGGTGGGTGCTTGAGCCTGTGCCACACAACTGGGCTGCTGGCAGTGCTGCCAGATGGCACGGAGGCACTTCTGCCAGCAGAGCGTGGTGAGAACCGCTCAGGCACTGTGGGAAAGCTGCAGGTGGGGATGCCCTTTTTGCTTATATGGGGTAGAGATGGCTTCAACAGCAGCAGCGGCGACCTCCAGCAGAAGCACAAACAGCAAACCCACTCAGGCGGATGCCAACGGACCAACCTGCACCCAAGAGCACAGACCGAGCCCAGAACCGAGCCCAGAACCGAGCACACCGCCGGCTCCTGATGCCACCCAGCACCCGCCCGCACGCGGCTCTGGGTCTGTGAGATGCACGGCACCGCGCTGCGGGCTCACAGCCTTTCCTTTCCGAGCCCTCAGCACCGGGGCGGCACGCAGCCGTCGGGCACGGAGCTCCGCGTTTGGCTCTAAGTGCGGTTTGTCCAAAGGGCTTCCGGCAGCCTTACAGCAGAAGCTTTTAAGAAGCGCATCGGGAGAGCGCAGCGACGGCACGGCACGGCACGGCACGGCACGGCACGGCACGGCACGGCACGGCACGGCACGGCACGGCACGGCAGTGGCTGAACGACCCCCCGCACCGCCCCGAGGGCAACCGCGACCACCGGAAACCGAAACCAAGTTCTCACCAATGAGCTTCCAGGAGCGACCAAAGCAACCAATCAGAGCCCAGGTCCCCTCAGGTGGGACTGAAGCAGTCAATCAGAGCGCAGATGTCGGCAAGATCCCCTCGGCAGGGACCCAAGCAGCCAATCACAGCGCCTCCCCGCCGCACCTGCGGGAGCGCCAGCTGTGCCCTGATTGGCTGCGCTGCTGACACGGCTCAGACGGCGCACGGCGTTTCCTATCGCGGGAGAAAAAAACGGTGCGGGAACCGCTGAGATGGAGGGGAGGGGGGGGGGCGGTGCGCCGGGGGGGCTGAGCGCACAACTGCCCACAGCGCCCCCCTGCCCAGAGCCGGGCGGACCCCGCTGTGCCACCGGGCGGGCGCTGCAGGCGGACGGCGCTGCTTCCATTCGCCGCTGGTTGCCGTAGCAACCCGTCGTTTCCTTCTGCCCGCTCCATCCTCAGCCTGGTGGCTGCGGTAATTGAAATCGAACTTCCATTCGGGACCGGGGAGGGGGAGATGCTCTGACCTGGGCGGCAGGTCACCCACCCATACACGTCCCAGTGCCGCAGGGCGGGGCAGCAGCAGCCGCCCATCGTCACCCGTCGTACCGTCACACCGTCACATTGCCACCCGTCACATTGTCACCCATCACATTGTCACACCGTCACATCATCACCCGTCACATCATCACCGGTCCCTGCCCGCCATCCGAGGCTGCAGACGGGGAAAGTCACACGAGTGGGAAAACAGCAGCCCTGCGTCACCGGCACGGCTGACCTTGGATGTGCCTCGCGGCTCCGCCCCCCCCGGCGATGTGGGTGCAAATTTTATATCCTAAACAGCCAAAACCCGCCCAGCCCCGCTGCAGGGCAGCCCCGGGCACCGCACCGCCAGGGGAGGGAGCTGAGCTGCCTTTGGGGCTGCAGCTCAGGGAAACTGCAGCGGTGGGAGCAGCCGTGCCCACGGCAGCGCACGCCCCACGGGCAGATATTCCTGGCATGGGGTGGGTGCAGACGTTTTTCTTTCATCGCAGGCCCTGCCCTGCCCCACGCTGCGGTGCTGGGGTGAGGGCGCGGGCAGTGCAGGCAGTCCAGCCCTGCAGCCTGAGTGTGTGCCAGCAGCAGCGCCCAGCCCTGGCACAGCACCACGCACTGCGCGTATCTCCAGCCCTGGCACAGCACCACGCACGTCTCCAGCAGCAGCACTGTGCAGCCACCCACTGA